CGTGCAAGTGTGTGTGGGTGTTGGTGTAGCTGACCCATGCTGCAGCTACGAGCTTGGGTTAGAACTTGGGTTGCTGCTGTTTTAAGGACTCCTCCAATAGACAAAGGACCTTGCAAAGTTCACGGAAAATGCCTTTTATGAAAAAAAACTTTCAATGGAATTTAGTTTTTTTTTTTTTTTTTTTTTTTTTGCCTGTGCTAGAAAGACGAGAACAGCAGGTGCAAAGACATTAGGGGAAAACAGAGCATGTCATGCAAGGGGACTAAGAGAGGACAGAATGAATGGAACAGGGTGAGATAGGGATGGGAACTAAAATCCGGGAGGTGTTGGGGACCGTGAGGTGCAGCACCTCACGGAGCAGCATTCTCTGAAGCCTCTGAAGCTGGAAAGCAACCCCATCTAACATGGGTTCCACAGATCATACTAGTTGCTGGGTAGAGAGCAGATAAAATATTGCAGGGTTCCAAAGAAGCGGTGGCTTGGATTGATGGTTGCAGCGGCGATAAGGAGTGAGAATGCGTGTGAGCTAGCCCAGAGGTAGAATTGACAGGCCTTGATAAGGGATGAGGGAAGAGGCAGCTGTCGGAGATGATGTGTTTCCGACTTCAGCAGCTGGGTCTGTGGCCTGTGGGCCACTGCAGAAGCAGCAGATTAGTAAAGGTGAGGCGAAAACAATTTCCCTCTAGGAAATGTTAAGCTGGGGGTGCCTGTGTCAGAAATATGCAGGTAAGTGTGGAGAGTGGATAGTTGGGTCTTCCATGCAGGACATGCAAAAAGAAAAGCTTTGGATTGGAAATGGCCAAACCAAGAGAAAACATATTATAGAGTAGAGAGTTTTCTCTTACAGAATAAGAAAAATGGAAGACAGAATACTCTGTCTATATCAATAAAATCTTGTAATTCAATAAAAATGAGACTTCCATTTTGTACGTAACTTTAGTTTGATATGTTCTTGTGAAAATTGGATTTCAGGATGATTTTAGAATTTTGGTTCAAGATCAGCAACTCTGAGTACTTCCAAAACAGAAACCTCAGAAATGAGCAGATGAAGTTTTCAGCAGGTTGGCTCTGGGCCACACCAGATGAGGATGCAGTCTGCTTGCAAGTTCTTTTGATTGAGTGTACTGACGCAGCCTTAGCCTCAGTGGAGCATCGCTTTCTCTCTGAAGAACCGTTTGAGGCAGCATCTGGCCCCTCCTTGCTGTTCCCTGCAGCAGAGTACATGCAAAGAAAATTGGCTTCTTTGTAATGTTGTGCCAAACGATTCAGCACTTACAAATCACTCGTCAGAATGGAAAGAAATTATTGATCCGTTTGGCCTATTTTGAGGTAACAAGGGCACCCTGGAAGCAACCCTCCATAGAGGTTGAGGATGGTTCACTCCCCAAGCGGCCTCAATGGCTGGAGCTGAGCCAATCCGAAGCCAGGAGCCAGGAGCTCTTCCGGGTCTCCCACAGGGGTACAGGGGCAAGGCTTTGGGCCGTCCTCAACTGCTTTCCCAGGCCTCCGGCGGGGAGCTGGATGGGAAGTGGGCAGCTGGGATTAGAACCGGCACCAATATGGGATCCTGGCGCATGCAAGGTGAGGACTTTAGCCACTACGCTATCACGTAGCCCTAAACCCTATTGTTGAATTTGTGGGATCCCATATAGGCATCTGTTCGTCTTCCCGCTGCTCACTCCCCATCCAGCTCCTTGCTTGTGGCCTGGGAAAGCAGCAGAGGATGGCCCAAGGCCTTGCACTCCCGTAAGAGACCCAAAAGAGGCTCCTAGCTCCTGGCTTTGGATTGGCTCTATTCTGGCTGTTGCAGCCATGTGGAGAGTGAACCAGAGGATGGAGGATCTTTCTCTCTCTTTTTTTCTCTGTACATTTGTCTTTCAGATAAAAATAAATTAAAAAAAAAGAGAAATGAATATGATAAAAAACAAAAAGCCTGGCTTTGTCCTAAAAGTGTCTGGACTTTTGCTTCCAGAGATAAATTTGCATCTTAACAGGGGCGTTTTTATTTGGTGATGTGGCTGGCCCTGACTGCCACCTGAAGGGGAGAGCTGATCACACCAGAAAGATAAGCCTTGTGATTTTAGGGAACAGCCTTAGAATCACGTGGTATTGATAACCTAGAGCCTGAGTGTCAGTTACAGAGGAACCAACCATGCTTCTCTAACAGAATCATGACAACGGCTCTGCACAGAGGACCCAGTCAGCTTCTCCGGTGGGTAACACTCCATGGACCTGTCACCCATCAGTGCTGAGCAGGCAGTGTGTGCCAAGGGCATGTAGCATTCCTGCACTGGCTATCACTGAGTGGAAGAGCCTCCCATGGGCACTGTGGGCTCTTCTAGTGAACGAGCAAACACGAGTGCAGTTTGGGGAGCCTCCTGCTGGTGTCAGGAAGGAGAGGAATCTTGTATGAATTTTTCGTTTTTACTTTGTAATTGGGTGAACTCTAACTCCTTGTAGTCAGTGTTAGACATCTTGAGCAAACTTGGTAGCCTGGGGGGCGATGCACGTAGACCATAGTTTGGCTAACTCCAGGTTAGTAACCAGAGCCTGGAGTGGAACTCAGATGACTAACCCATGTACACACATGTGCATGTATAACACGGAATACTCCTAACCACCAACCAGAGCTTATCCTATCAGGGATGTCCAGTGCAGAAATGGCTAGAACCAACCTGAGCAGGAACAACGGTAATCAGAGCTTATGGAAAGTGGGATGTGGTGTGTGCAGACAAGGATGAGGCTGCAGGGCCAGAGGAACTGGGAGATGAGGGGATTGGATTAGCTGGCAGGTGTTTTGAGGTAGGGGATGGTCCCCAAGTTGTAGCCTTCATCCATCTTCAGCCACACCGAGGCAGGGCTTACATCCATCAACAACACATGCGGTTAAGCCCTCTCTTACATTTTGTCCAAGAGCTCTTGGGTTTCCTGGGAATAGTCAGGACTCTAGCCCTGGATACAATCCATTTCCACAGGTTCCTGGCTTATGTCAACCCAGGGGGGAATACGTTACGAGATGAAAATATCACACTTGCCTTTTCTCTGCAGATCTTTAATGCTTTCCATTTCCCCTAAGCAATTTCAAAATTCCAGAAAAACGAACACAATCGCAGAACTGAGAGTTCTCACCTTGCAGTTACTATGATATTATAGTACAGTGAATGCCTTCATCATGGTTCATATTACAAAGCAGCCAGGAGTAGTGAGAGAATGTGGGTTTAGTCACACCAGGGTATCTCTTTAAAAAGCAGCAGCAGACCTAATCCTCCATAAAATCCACCGTAACATTCTGCTTAACTTTAAGGTTTCTTCATAAAGCTGTCGGTTTAACCATGTTGTCCAATTGGAAGAATCAATTTCATATAACAGACTGGGTCTATTGAAAGAGCTGGGTATTAGTCTGCATTATTAAAGGCAACTGGACACTACCGACTCAGCCACGGACGTAGTCCCGAGGAGGGATGTGAGAGGACAGCGGCTCTCTGGCGCCCCCTCGAGGCAGGCACTTTTCTACTTCATTTAGTCTTCATTGTCACTTGCTGAAGAATGGTATTGATCCCATTTTACAGAAAACAAAAACTGAGATCCCAGGACATGAGGTAACTTGCCCAGAACTACTAAAACAATGGAAGCAGCAGCACTGAAACACATACCTTTACGACTAAGTCTTGATTGTCCCATTTCACATTATTGCCTAGTATAAACACAATTCATGATTATATGAAAGCATATAATCCCAGGGGACTATTTGACAATGTGAATTAATTCTGAGACATGATCTGAACATCATTTTCTATGAAGAACAGATTTTATAATCAGTGTTTCTGTAATATTTTCCTTCTCATAGGAGAGACTGTAAACTGATAAATGCAATTGAAAACATCAACTAGTTCAACTTATATTTGAAATAGGCAGTTCACACCTAGGCGGTGTCACATGATGTCTTGATGGCATACATATTGCCACATGCCCACGCCTTCCTGTGAAACGGCTCCTGCTCTCTGGTGTCTGCGGGCTGAGTTAATGACACACAGCCGAGTGCACGATAGATTCGCTGTCAATGAATTCTATTCCTTAGAGCCTAAAGCCAGATTTCCACCTTTCAGTCTTCATGTTTGAACCTCATCTAACCCTTTCTCTCACCTGATACCAAATGCCTACTATTTTCATAGGACTCATTGTCTGCAGAAGAATGTCTTCCTAAGTGAGACTATCACCCGATGTCCCAGGACCACTCCAGGTGGTGACAGGATCGACTCCCAGCAGAGCTGACTCAAGTTTGCCCTGTGGCAGCTTCTGTTCCAACGGGAGCATCCTCACCAGCGTTCTGTCTGCGTATCTTAACTGGTTATGAGACAATTTCAGATTACAGTACACTCAGGCAGGGAGTATTTGCTTAAAAAAGAAAAAGGAAAAAACCCAAACTATTGATTAGACTATTATTCAGTTGTAAGACAAATGTATTTACCTTCTCCCCTTTTCCCTGTGAGAGGAATAGGTTTCACTTTTCATAAAGCAATATGCAAAATGCATAAGGAATGCAGGAAACTAAACTGCTGTAAGTTGTAAAATTAGACGCTCTCACGGTCCGAGTGTTTCCTGTTTTTCCCTGCGGCACGCCTATGGTGTCCAGAGCACACCACTGGGATCAGAGCAGCCAGCCGGAGTGGGAACCCAAACCCGCCCTAAGCTGACTTCTACAACAGGGTTCAAGGCCCTAAACTGCAGGTGCAAGACACCTGTGGTGTTCGCACAGCGATGACCGTGGGCGTGCGAGGCGGACCCTGGCCTCTCCTGCAGGTGAGAGCCGCAGGTGCGCGCCGTTTCCCCGCCTCCCTGACGGTGGAGGATGCGCGCGCGCGCGCTCAGCGGTTCCCTCGTTACTCGGGCGCCTCGTTGGGGACCCAGCGCCCTGCGGGAGCCCAGCGCCCTGCGGGAGCCCAGCGCCCTGCGGGAGCCCACCGCCCTGCGGGAGCCCACCGTGCTGCGCCTCCCTGGCCATGGCTGCCCTCCGCAAGAAGCTGGTGGTCGTGGGGGCGGGCGCTTGCGGCAAGACGAGCCTGCTGGTGGTGTTCAGCCGCGACTCCTTCCCGGAGGAGTACGTGCCCACCGTGTTTGAGAACTACGTGGCCGACGTGGAGGTGGACGGGAAGCATGTGGAGCTGGCCCTGTGGGACACGGCGGGCCAGGAGGAGTACGACCGCCTGCGGCCGCTGTCTTACCCGGACACCGACGTCATCCTCATGTGCTTCTCCATCAGCAGTCCCGACAGTCTGGAAAACATCCCGGTCAAGTGGGCGCCCGAGGTGCGGCACTTCTGCCCCAGCGTGCCCATCGTCCTGGTGGGCAATAAGAAGGATCTCCGCCAGGATGAGAGCACCAGGCGGGCGCTGGCGGCCTGGAAGCAGGAGCCGGTGAGGCCCGAGGCAGGCAGGGACGTGGCCAGCAGGATCGGCGCCTTCGGGTACCTGGAGTGCTCCGCCAAGACCAAGGAGGGAGTGAGGGAGGTGTTCGAGATGGCCACGCGAGCCGCCCTGCAGGCCAGGCGTGGCAGGAGGCGCTGGCGGTGCCTGGTCCTGTGACACAGACCCTGTGGCTGAGTGCAGCTGGGCTTCCCAACGACGGCTGGTGCTCACGTATCCACTACTGACCAAAGACGGCCCATCCCAAGCCAGCGGACAGAAGCCAACCGTCTTTAGGCTCCTCGGGCCTTGGGGCTCCGCGCCCTCAGCCTGCGCTGATTGGTAACACCAGGCGCTGGTTGGTAACCTTTGTAAAGGGCTGTAACCATTGCGGCTGAACACGTCCCAGCTGCCACGCATCCCGCTGTAACCGCTCCGAACGTTAGCTGACTTCATTGCCATAGCTCCGGCTTCACCATCCAGTTATTTTTATTTATTTATTTTTTAATGCTCGACCAGCAAGACTCAAGTTCATGCAGCTGTGACAGAGTTACAGCCATGGCTTCATGTTTCTGATCTTATGGTTACTGTGCAATGAGTGCCACTGAGTGTATGTTACCAGAAATAAATATATCTACCTCAGACCAAATGTGTTTTTTTTTTGAGGGGGTGGTGGTGATATAATTAATTTCCTGATACTGATTTTTGCCATTTCTGCAGATGGTGTATTTTTAAAAGCTATGTTTGGAAATAAAGTCAGATGGAGATTTCACTTTGTTGCTCTGTCTGCTCTGTGAGAGCAGGGTCCCTTGGACCCAGCCTGCGTCTCGGTGCCCCGTTTGCAGAGGGGAACTCGGGATGTGTGGCCACACCTGCCAAGGGGCACGCCTTTCTCACCTGGCTGAGGGTGTGGCTCTAACCCACTCCGGGTTCCCTCACAGAGGAGCTGCAGGCCTCGGGGAGGACTTCTTTTCCCTCTCCTCTCTCGTGGACTCAACTTTGTCTCCTGTGCCAGTTAATTTTTCCAAGCTTTAGTCGAATAAAGACAATTTCCTAAGCAAGAAGTCCCAAAAACTGTTCCGAACTTTTTTAGAACTTGAAAAATGGGGAGAAAGGAGCTAACAGGGTAGATTTGAATGTCACTCACTGTTGGTTTAAATTTCAAGCAACCTGATAGGGGTTTATATACATTTCAAACATACTATCTGAAGGTCTTCTGTGCTGGTGGCTAGCCGGACACTGAAACTCACGGGTCACTCAGGAAACACTGCAGGGGGTTCTGCTTGGAGCAGAAGGGTCCCTTGGGCAGCCACTTGGCTTTTGTAGCATTTCACTTGAAAACTGTGTCTGCGGCTTTAGCTTTGTGTCAAGTGGAACGTCCAGAAGTAGCTGGCCTGCAGACCCCATGACTCCAGGTGAAAATCCTTGCGTATTGAGATCGCAGAGAACCTCGAAGTCTCTGGGATAGCTTCATAAACGGTCAGTGTCAGAGATCACAAACATCTGAACTCTAGTTTTGAAAATGGAAGAAGTTGTTAAAATCTTCTGTCTGGTGGTTTACTCCCCAGACGGCAGCCACGGCTGGGGCTGGACGAGGGGGAAGCCAGGCTCCTGGAGCTTCTTATGGGTCTCCTGGGTAGGTTCAGGAGCCCATGAAATCAGGCTTTCCTCTGCTGCTTTCCCAGGTGAGTTTGGGGGCTTACTCCGGTATCAGCACGGGCCGGCAACGGGCAGCAGGTCAGCGTGCTCTGCTCCAGCACTGGCCCCATGGCGTGAGAGTGACCCATATATTCTCCAAGTAAGGAGATTTCTGAAATGGTCACCGATGAAACAGGCCAGAATTTCCAATGAAGCTTTCCCATTGAGCAGCATGTAAATGGACAGTATGATCCAGTGTGAATTTTTATTTTCTTATCATTAGAAACATGGCTTTACTGAATAAAACCTATGTGAATTACTATGCAAATAAAATGGAACATGAAATATATCTGTTCATGGCAACCATATATTATAGTTAAGTGATGAAATAATTTTTTATTTTAAAAACTCTTTTCCAGGCTATAATTCTGTGGGTGTAAGTATGGAGATTGCCCCCACCTCTCCTTCCTCACCCCATCCCATTCTGCCCCCTCCGCTGTTTTTCCCCTATATTATGACGATAATATACTGTCACAAGTGCAACGTTTTTGCACTGCAGTGGAGGTAAGAGCGACAAGGTGTACTTAGCAGTGTCCTGGGAGTTTTATTTGGCAGTAGAGATGCGTACTGCAACAATGTTCACTTCCTGGTATGCTAGTCTCCCTTGTACAACTCACCGATGAAGACATGTATATACATATTTCCCTGTCTGTTTTGTAATTAGAACAGGATATTTGTCCTTTTTGGATTGGCTTATTTCAATGAGTATAATGGTTTAAGGTTGGGACCATTTTGTTGCAAATAGTAGAATTGTAGAATTTCATTCTTTTTAGTGTCTTGTTAGTATTTCATGGAGCAGATGTACCACTGTTTTTTGTTTTTAAAGATTTATTTTTATTGGAAAGTCAGATATACAGAGAAGAGGAGAGACAGAGAGGAAGATCTTCTGTCCGATGACTCACTCCCCAAGTGGCCACAATGGCCGGTGCTGTGCTGATCTGGAGCCAGGATCCAGGAATCTCTTCCAGGTCTTCCACGCGGGTGCAGGGTCCCAAGGCTTTGGGCCATCCTCTGCTGCTTTCCCAGGCCACAAGCAGAGAGCTGGAAGGGATGTGGAGCTGCCGGGATTAGAACCAGTGCTCATATGGGATCCCGGTGCATTCAAGGTGAGGACTTTGGCCACTAGGCCACGCTGCCGGACCCGTACCACAATTTCTTTATTCATTCCTCTTTGCATGGACGTCTGGGTTGTTTCGGTGTCTCTGTTATTGTGGATTGTGCTGTTGTAGGGTTGCAGGTCACTTCCCGATGTGTAGATTTTTCTTCCTTTGGATATATTCCCTGAAGTGGGATAACTGGTTTATTTTCAGTTCTCTTCGCACTCTCCATATTGGCTACCACAGTGGGTGCAGAGCCCACCCTCCCACCCTCGGTGAAGGAGGGCGCATCGTCCCCACATGCATTCCAACAGATGTTGTTAGCAGAGTTCTGAATGTGGGCTAGTTTCACCGGGGTCAGGTGGAGCCTCTGGTTTTATTTGTATTCCTCCCACAGCTGGGCAGCCTGAGCACTTCTTCACATGCCTATCAGCCATCGGAATGTTTTTTTTAATGCCTGTTGCTCCTGTTTGTCCCAGTGTCTGCAGGAGCTCTGATGTTTCCTGCTGTTTGTCTCGTTGATTCGTCCATTCAGGTGAGCGGGGTGTTAGGTGACAGAGAGCTTCCATTCGTTGGTCTCTCCTCTCTTGGTCTCAACGACCAGCGACATCAGGCTGAAGCCAGGAGTCGGGGACAAGTCCTCCCTTCTCTGCCAGTCTTTGAAACGCACGTCGGTACAACTGGGGGCAAGAGGAAGTCCATCACTGGACAGGTGGCCTTTGTCGTGCGAGGAAAGCGTGGTGAGAAACAAAGGCAATCCAGCCGGTCACTGAGGTTGGTTTTTGGCAGAGATAAATTCTGTGCAGGTTTTATGGCCGGAGAGTAGAGGGTATGCTGGAATGTACGCAGGGTCACCTGAATGTTCATAGTGAAAATGTGTGAAACACCTTTCCATTTCTTTTTCCATGAATATTTGAAAGCTTCCTGTAGTGTAATTCTGATGATTTCAGAGCTCAGGGGGTGGAGAGAGATGCTGAAGACATTTTTTTTTTATTATCCACAGAGGATAGATAGCCATTTCCAGTGTCTTTAGGGTCAGCTGGGTGCAATAATTCACATTTCCTAGTAGTTAAATAATTTTAGACTTATAGAAAGTGGACATTCTGTGACCATGGTTGAAAATACGCAGAGATCTCTGCAGCGGCCGTTGGCTTGGTTTTCACTTCTAGCCTTGCACTGATGTGGCTGGGAGGTGTCCGAGGACCACCTGTTTACTGTGGCGTCAATGGGGACCGTGACAGGGTACACTCCCTTCCCTGCTGGGCATTTTGCTCATAAATACAATTAAAGTGTTTTGCTAGCATGAATTAAGTTTTTTTTAAAGTGTCAGAACACTTAAACATTAACTTCTTAAATGCCCCTCTGCACTGATGGAAGGGAACTTGACAAGTTACATCAGCCACATTGGGATTATGTCAAGGACCACTCGTTGCGCTTCTCTGTCATACATTTTGTGGCCACTGGATGGCAGCAAAATACCAATAAAAAACTAGGAAACTCAATTTTTCCTCCCAACTTCAGAACAGCTTTACTGGATTTTTTTTTTTTTTAAGTATTCATTTGAATGGCTGAGAGACGCAGAGAGCTCACATCTGCAGGTTTATTTCCCCAATTTTTAACTCACTGGAGCTCTGTGCCTGGTACTGTTCTAGGTGCTGAGAGTCACAGCGAGCTCAGCAGACTAAGAAGGCATAGAAAAGCAGCAAAGTCTTAGAGAGATGACATGTGCCCGGATGCTGCTCAAGATCCCTGCATCAGGGTCAGCGTTGTGGGCTAAGCCACCGTCTGCAGTGCCGGTTCCAGCTGCTCCGACGGTGACGCAGCGTCGTGCTAATATGCTTAGGGGAGCAGCAGAGGACAGCTGGGTGCTGAGGACAATGCCTCCTGCAGGCCCCGGGGGACAGGGAGGACGACCCACGTAACTGGGCTGCTGTCATCCCCATGTGGGAGGCCTGGATTGACGGAGTTCCCAGCTGTCATCTTTAGCCCGCCCCGGTCCTGGCTTTTGCGGGCACTTGTGGCATCAACTTCTTTCCCGGTCTCTCTTGAGTGGTATGACTCTTCAGAAGATACAATAATATAATAATATGGGTCCTGCTGTACCTGTAAGCTGGGCAAGGGATAAAGCCACAAGATTTATTCTGGCACATACCGAGGGGTCATCCAGCTGGTGATGGTTTGGTGGCTTTTGAGATTGGCAGAGCATCACACAGCAGGAGACGGAAGATGGAGCCCAGGAAAGACCCACCCTATGGTAGCCTATCCACCCATTAGGCACGGAAGTCCTTCTGTAAATGTCCTTCATCGGCCCCCTGTGAATATCTCACATGCAGACTGGACTGTAGTATCAGTTTTGGAGGGGGGAACTCTTATTTGAATCACAGC